TTATTGGAGATGAAAATGCAGGACAGGTGGGTGAAACCATCTATGGTAGCCTGGGCTCAGGACATTGGTTATAACTTAGATTTAGAGCAGTGGGACAAAATCTGGTTAAGAAATATTAAAATTGTAAGAATAAGTGCATTTAAAGAAAACATACTGAAAATGTTCTCTAGGTGGCACATTTCTCCTGCAAGATTAAATAAGTACAACAAAAACCTAGGGGAGAACTGTTGGAAATGTATTCTGCAATGGTACATTATTTCACCTTTGGTGGGTCCTGTAATAAAGCAAAAAAAATATCGGTCTTTGATCAAAGAAATAATGGATAAAATAGTAGGAAAGAAAATCCCTTTTCTACCTGAATTTTTCTTGTTGAATGTTATACCAAAGATATTTAAGAAAAAAGAGATGTATTTAATAATGCAAATGTAAACGGCAGCTAGAATTATTTTTGCAAAAAAATGGAAAGATAGGAACGTCCCAACAAAAGAAGAATTTATTTGTAAACTGTTTGACATTGCAGAAATGGAAAAATTAACTTTTATTATTGAAGAAAAAAGTCTGGAAAGATATGAAAATTATTGATCTCACTTCTATAACTGGTTAAAGGTATCTAATTTTGCTTTGGTTTAATGAATTTGGCAATTTAGTTTAACGAATCTGATTATTTGGCATTGTATAATTTAAGTGGGTCAAAAGCAGAAAATTTTTGTAAGTTTTGCGAAGATCTTCGCTATTATATGTGTATGTTTTATGATCAAAGATCCATATGGAAAAATAATAAAAATATTGTCCAAAAAAAACCACGTGCAAGAAAGCAGCCCAGGGTCCCTGTTCTCTATCCTGTGCGGCTCCTTGTCAAAGGGAACGATCTGTGGTCTGCCCCTCTCAGAGGCAGCTTTGTATGTTCACCTGCAGGCTTAGCCGTTGTCAGGGCTTTTTTTTGTAGAAAATGCTCAACAGGAGCTCATTAGCATAATTGACCACACCCAACAGCAGAAGCTTATTAGCATATTAGGCCACACCCCTGACAGCACATGTCATAAGCATATGAGGCCACACCCGTTACCAGAAGTGTGCTCATCCAGCCACATTCACCTTTTGCTTCTTATTCTGTTGACCTTGTTTGTTGTCAAAACCCAGGGCCTTTTTTTGGAGCAGGAACTCCTTTGTATGTTAGGACACACACCCCTAATATAGCCAATCCTAATGAGTTTCTGCTGTTGGGTGTGGCCTATTATGCTAATGAGTTCCTGCTGGGTGTGGCCAACTCAGGAGCCAGCCGGAACTCCGTTCCTGTGCGCTCCTGCCCAAAAATAGCCCTGGTGGTTGTTGGTATTCTTTCGAAGCTTACTGGACTAGTAGAGCTGCCAACCTCCAGGTGGTAGCTGGAGACCTCCTGGGATTATAACTGATCTCCAGACGACAGAGATCGGTTCCCCTGTAGACAATGGCTGCTTTGGAAGGTGGACTCTATGGCATGGTACACCGTCGAAGTCCCTCCTGTCCCCAAACCCCTCACTCCTCAGGCTCCACCCCCAAAATCTTTCAGTATTTTTGAACCCAGGCGCTGGCAACCCTATGGACTAGAGACAGCAAGGCCCTTCAGATTCCTCAAGACAAGGGTTTAGATCTGGATTTGCCCCGTGCGGGTTTGTTATGTTAGAGGCCCCGAGTCAATTTAACGTGCATTAGTGAAAGCAGGGGTCATTTTGTAGAAAAAGAGGGGCAGGAGCTCATTAGTATAACTCATTAGCATAACTTATTTGCATGTGCCACACCCCCTGACATCACCGGAAGTGTGTCAGAAGGCAACACCCACCGCTCAGACTCCACTGGACTATTTTGGATTGCTAGCTACTGGGGGGGGGGGGACGTGCAGATCTGTCCTTGCAGAGGAGGGAGAGCTTGTACCGGAATAAGACTTGGTCTTAAAGGTGCCACTGGACTGTTTTTTTGAGGGGGTTTCTGCAACGTCCCGGGCTGCTTCTTGCTCTGACTGAGGGCTGCTGGGAGCAGGGGGTGGGGCGTGTTGCCTGTGCCCGCCCCTTGGGCTCTTTACTGCCGGAGCTCCGCTCCTGTGCGCTCCTGCAGAAAATGAGCCCTGAGTGAAAGTGAACCAAAGGGATCCCAGCCTTTTTTTCAAAGGCCATGCAAAAACCGCCTACCCAGTTCTCCATAACCCTGTGCTAAAGGTGGAGTCTACAAGCGGCTGCCTCAAGCACCCTGGAGCCGACTGAATTCTGCAGGGGCTCTTCTTTTGGACTAACTCTCCCTCGATTTGACCCCATTCACCAGTAAACTGGCCATTTTTCTTTGAAGAGGAGGAGGAGGAGGAGGAGATTGGATTTATACACCGCCCTTCATTACCCGAAGGAGTCTCAGAGCGGCTTGCAATCTCCTTCCCCTCCCCACAACAGACACCCTGTGAAGTAGGCGTGGCTGAGAGAGCTCTTTCGAGAACTGCTCTTGAGAGAACAGCTCTGAGAGAACTTGTGACTGATCCAAGGTCACCCAGCAGCTGCATGTGGAGGAGTGGGGAATCAAACCCGGTTCTCCCAGATTAGAGTCCACGCTCCTAACCCTACACCAAACTGGCTGAGAGTGGTTGTTCTCAGCCAGTGGGATGCACTAGTAGTCGAGGTAGTCGAGGTAACAATCACTCTCTCTCAGTCCAGAGATGCAGTGTTAATTCCTATCACCGACAGGGAAAAGAATAGCTAGATCTGAGCGCCAGAGCACCTTAGAGACCAGATTTTCGGGGTATGAGCTTCTGCGAGTCACACCTTCCTTTGCTGGCTCTGATGAAGACGGTACCTGATGAAGGGAGCTTGGACTTTCAGAAGCTCATACCTCCAAAATCTCGTTGGTCTGCTGGACTTGAGTCTGGTGCTGTTGGACTCGAATCTGGCTCTTCTACCGCAGACCAACATAGCTATTCTCTGAAGCTGTCTTCAGGGGGGGGAAATACTTGTCATCTTAAAGATCCTGCTGCTAGCAGAAGTAATATTAACTGCTATTAATCAGCACTGGAAGCCAAATACTTCTTAGGCTTGCAACAGGAACCTTGGAGAGCTGTCTTTGGGACAGGGGCCACTTTACTCCTGATGTGACTGTCGTTCATTGTCCTGGACCCAGTTGCAGCTGCTTTCCGTGTGCTCCCAGATTTCTAAGTATCAAGAAGAGGAGGAGGAGGAGATCGGATTTATACCCCGCCCTTCACTTGGAGTCTCAGAGCGGCTTACAAACTCCTTTCCCTTCCCCTCCCCACCACAGACACCCTGTGAGGTAGGTGAGGCTGAGAGAACTCTGACAGAAACTACTATTTTTCAAGGACAGCTCTGCCAGAACTATGGCTTGCCCAAGGTCATCCAGCAGCTGCAAGTGGAGGAGTGGGGAATCAAACCCGGTCAGAGTTAACCACTTAACCACTACATCAAACTGGGGGGCCGTGGCTCTAAGGGCCTTTCTGAACTCCATCCTAAGCAGGGCATGTGTCCGTCATCCTAAGCTTTATCGTTCACAAAACTGGTTTTTATCACTGGGTTCAGACAGAGCAGCAACTCGGTGGGTGGGACGCTGGGGGTCTGTTCCCCTAACAGGGGCACTTTTCACTGGTGCAAAGGAGCCTTCCCCTCTCAAAAAAAAGGCTCCTTGCAGAAGGGGAAGCACCCAGCCCAACAGATCCGTGGGATCCCATCCTGTGGTTTGCCACATCAGGTACACTTCCATTCGTTTGTGGCCTGCGAAGAGAAAAGGGTGTGTGTGTGGCTCAGTGGTGGAGCATCTGCTCAGCATGTGGAAGGTCCCACATTCAGCTGCTCCACCCCCCCCCCCGGCATCTCCAGTTAAGGGACCAGGCAGTAGATGATGTGAAAGACCTCAGCCTGAGAACGCCTGGAGAGCCGCTGCCCGTCTGAGTAGACAAGACTGAGGTCGATGGGCCAAGGGTCTGATTCGCAGCTTTGTGAGTTCGAGTGGATTATTTGGCACGCAATAGCCCAGGCCAGCCAAGTCTCCTCAGATTCCAGAAGCTAAACAGGGTTAACCCTGGTTAGTAATTGGATGGGGGACCGCCAAGAGAGCCCAGGGTGCCCACGCAGAGTCAGGCAAGGGCAAAGCGCCTCTGAACTTCTCTTGCCTTGAAAACCCTACAGGGTCACCATAAGGCGACTGCCATTTGACGGCAAAGGGGGGGGGAAGGCATTCATGCAGCAACGGCAAGATCAGACCCTGAGTCCTCTGGAGGCCCTTGGACCGCTGCTGCTGGTCAGGCTAGAGAAGGCCCGAAAGGACATTCAGCAGAAGACAGTTTCGCACGTCTGTATCGCTGTGTGTGCGAATCCTCTGCAAGCTCTCTCGGATCGTGCCCAAGGGAGCCAATATCAGAACTGCCCCGGGGGAATTGGGGTGCCCCCCTCAGCATCTTTGTTTCTTTGGCCATAAAGTTCTGCCCGGATTCACAGCTTGCACGAGGGACACTGACCGGCCCTGTGAAAGTCTGCATTTTCCTGGGCCCACGGATTTTGTTACAAAGGCCCTGGCTGGGATGACCGTTCGCAGCAATGGCCGTGCATTTTTCAAGGCTCTCTCTCCAACGTTGCAGACCCCAAACCTAATTTTTTAATTAGAAGGACTGGGGAAGGGTTGAGTATTGTTCACAAACCAGGTTCTGAGCGCGATAGACAACTCTTGTGTGTGGCAAAGGCATTGAATGAGCGTGCCAAGAAATACCAGGCCAGGGGAGCCTGCGCTCAACTCCTTCCTGTCTAGCCTCTTTGGCTGCTCAGCGACTGAGCCTCGGGCTCTTGTGTGGCCACAAAGAGAAGGAGGGAGCGGCTGAGGCACCAGTGATGTACTTGCAAGCAGCACTGGTCGGAGAGGCCTCTCTACCCAACACCAGAAATGTCCACTAGGGATCACAATAATGGACTTCATGCAAAAGAGGACACAGTTGTGCGGCACGGGATTATCACTGTCCTCTGTTTCCGAGGCTGGGCCTTTCACTCTTCGGTGTTGTTGAACCTTGCAATGGCCTCCTCCAGCACGCCCTCCGGGTCTGCCAGTTCGATCTGGAGTAAAAACAATGGAGAGAAACTTGTTAAATCGAGTGGCAAGTAGGAGCTCATGCTCCCTCTAATCTGTGGAGTCTCGTGAGCAAAAATCCTACTTTGTGAGCGACTGGCATGAAAGTTGCGAGCGAGCAATTTGGCTGCTGCATGGATTCGTTTGACTCTGGAGCCATCCCTTCCCGAGCAAAGACAGAAATGTGTGAGCCGGAGGCTAAAGAACAGTGAGCTGGCTCACACTAACTCAGCTTAGAGGGAACCCTGCTTGGGTGCCTGTTGGGTGCCTGACTTCTATTCGATACCGATCGATATCATTACCTTTATTTGCAAAAGGGGATCTTTTCGTCCCACGTGCAGTTCAAAGAATACTAAAGTCATGTTAGACATCTCCGGCTGTTGTATTTTGAAGATCCTCAACAGACAAGCCATAAAACTTGATACGGGGATGTTTGAGCGCTTAAAATCTGACAAACTGAGCTCCAGTCCACAAGAGCTTCTGCAGGACTAAAATCTGGTTCGTCTTGAAGGTGTCACTAGACTCCCGTTTCTTTGTTACTGCCAAGGCCTTTTTTTGGGCAGGAATGTAGGAACGGAGTTCCGGCTGGCTCCTGAGTTGGCCACACCCAGCAGGAACTCATTAGCATAATAGGCCACACCCAACAGCAGAAACTCATTAGGATTGGCTACATTAGGGGTGTGTGGCCTAACATGCAAAGGAGTTCCTGCTACAAAAAAAGCCCTGGGTTTTGACAACAAGGTAAACAGAATAAGAGAAGCAAAAGGTGGGTGTGGCTGGATGACCACACTTCTGGTAACATGGGGGTGCGGCCTAATATGCTAATGGTCTGTGCTGTCAAGGGTGTGGCCTAATATGCTAATGAGTTCCTGCTGGGCTTTTTCTACAAAAAAAAGCCCTGGTTACTGCAGTAGTCCTTACTGCAGCCTTGCACGGTGGGCCAGTATCAATACCCCCCCGTATTACCCCCTCTGCATTCTGCTGTAATGTTCCCCAAGTGCTAAAGAAGAAGAAGAAGAGATTGGAGTTATACCCTGCCCTTCACTCTGAGTCTCAGAGCGGCTTACAAACTCCTTTCCCTTCCCCTCCCCACAACAGACACCCTGTGAGGTAGGTGGGGCTGAGAGAGCTCTGAGAGAACTGTCCTTGAGAGAACAGCTCTGACAGAACTATGGCTTGCCCAAGGTCATCCAGCCAGGTGCAAGTGGAGGAGTGGGGAATCAAACCCGGTCCTCCCAGATTAGAGTCTGCGCACTTCACCACTACACCAAACTGGCTCTAAACACCTTGCTATAGGTGCAGCCGTCGTTCAGGCAAAGTGACTCTTTGTCTAGGCTTGGAGTGGCCTGAAGGAAAGGGATCAAAGGATGTTGGTTGATTTCCCCCCCCCCCCCAGGCTGCCAATCTAGAACAGGGGTCTCTCCTCCAAACAGCCCGGATGAGAGCTAAAAAACCAATTTAGGACTTGGATAAAAGTCCTACGCGGATGAGAGCCCTACAAAGAAACCTTAGCCACTTGGCAAGGTGGTGTTTATTTATTTATTTTATTAAACTTATGAATCATCACCCACCCTCCAAGCAGGCTCTGGGCGATTTACAGCCTTATAAAACATTTAAAATACAATCAATACATATAACTAAATTTGCCAACAGTAAATCAATAATTTAAAACCAAGAGGAGGAGGAGGAGGAGGAGATTGGATTTATACCCCATCCTTCACTACCCAAAGGAGTCTAAGAGCAGCTTACAAACTCCTTTCCCTTCCCCTCCCCACAACAGACACCCTGCAAGGTAGGTGGGGCTGAGAGAGCTCTTGACAGAAACGGCTCTTTTTCAAGGACAGATCTTGTCAAAACTATAGCTTGCCCAAGATCATCCAGCAGCTGCGAGTGGAAGAGTGGAGAATCAAATCTGGTTCTCCCAGATTAGAGTCCGTGCTCCTAACCACGACAACCAAACTGGCTCTTACATAGTCCAGACATCATTGTATGACGACATGAAGCTGCAATCATGGAAATTAATTACAAGATGGTATTATACACTCAAAAAACTAAGCTTCATAACCAGTTTGTATAAATCCTCTATGCTGGAAATCTTCAGAACATGTTGGATCTTATTTACATTGCTGCTAGGACTTGTTCTACTTTAACCTCGTTCTGAGAGATGATCTTTGTTAAAATCAACATTATCCCTGGTTGTGGAATTCCACTTAGTCCAGAGTCAGTATTACTAAATATTTGGCCTGATTCCCAATTTGAAAATGAAAAAATAAAATTAATTGCCATTAACATAAGAACATAAGAGACGCCAATGCTGGATCAGGCCAAAGGCCCATCCAGTCCAACACTCTGTGTCACACAGTGGCCAAAAATACCAGGGGCCATTAGGAGGTCCACCCATGGGGCCAGGACACTAGAAGCCCCTCCCACTGTTCCCCCCCCCCCCCAGCCCAAAAAAACAAAGCCCCCCTTCC